TTATGTGACCAGGGCTACTGACATAAAAGGGGGCTTCTGAGGTGAAGTGGGTACTAATGTTACTGGGGATCCGGATGTGAAGGGGGCAATCTGATGTGAAGGGGGCAGGAGGGCGGGCTACTGATGTGACGAGGGCTACTGATGTGAAGGGGGGCTCCTAATGTGAGAGGGAGGACTCGACTCTGACGTGAACGGAAGGGGGAGTGTAATGTGAACCCCGTTTTTTTGGTATTTGTGCAGGAGCCCCCATAATATCCATAGCAGACCTTCATCTGGGATAAGGGTCTGGTATTGATTTTTGGAGGGGCCACACATCATTCATTGCATTTTACATTTACACTTCATACATTTTAGACTCGGGGGGCGCGCCTTGAGATTTTGCACACTTGTCAGGGGTGCCGTGACTGGAACAAGGTTCAGAAGCTGATTTAAGGGACATTTGGCGGGGGATGGTAGACGTACCATGGAGGGTCATATCACGGGCAGTAGACTGAGCCCCCCCAGGATGGATCTGTCCTGATCTACGTGTGTATGGTCCACCTCAGACTGGTGTCCATGTTTTATTGTACAGGTTATAGGAGTGTCAGCGTCACCTGTCTGTAGTGTGAACGTTTGATCTCCGATAGGCCGCGTTGTCCTGTAAACTCTGCAGACATTGGACCTTGGATCCCTTATCGGAGAGTGTCGCTGATTCTCGCCCCCGCCATTATCTAATACCTGCTCTGGCTGCACCCAGATACTCTCCACGTTACCACTTCCAATCTAAGGATGACATGGCGGAGAGGTGGCTGCATGCAGCTGACTTCTTACGTTCTCGGGTCCCTCGCAGCAGCCGGCTATAAGGGCCCCTGGCTTGGATGGAAACGTGATCAGGGCAGCTATCAATGATTTACTGTTATAAACCAGCGTATGTTTAAAGAGACCCTGTCACCGACTGAAACAACTGCAGATAAAACATCCATCATCTTAAATATTGACTTTCAGTGAGTGTCCTGTCCCTGGGTGGCTACGCTCACTCCACCACTGTATCTATGGAGGGAGCCATAGCTGGCACACAGACTGGGCTGAAAACGTGTCTGCCTTTGCATCGGGGCTGATGGGATTAGTATTTTGGAAAGATAACATTGATTGTGCTTTGTAGTTAGTCCAACGCATTTCAATGGAGCTGTTCACATCTTACAGCTCAATGTCGCCCGTAGCTCGTCGCTTGTACATGACCCTTTTTTTGAGCGATATTGCTCTTGACTGCTTACAGCCCAATACGAAAAGTCTAGCGACAAGTTGCGCAATATCGCGCGTATGACAATCGCGTGGAAAAACGCGCGATTATTCATGTCGCTCAGTGTGAATGGGGGCTAAGAGTTTTGCTGATCCCTTGGTGTTGGCTACACAGCGAGTAATGAATCCATGAGTCCATAATACTACTTACCATGTTTAGAAGGGGCGGTGGGGTAGGGGGGTCTTTGAGACCTGAACACGCTGGTGGTTCTGTGTTCTCGTGGATGAACCCATTCTATGATTGGATGTTTTTGGACTCTGGCGCTGTCTGGTTGGCGCTCTCATTGGACTGTACGTATGCGTATAACCACATCCAATGGTTGGTATGCTGCGATATGTTAGATTTTTGGGTTCAGTTATCCTTTAATGAAGCTGCAACCAGAAGTTACCATTGGAGGACAGGAAGTCGAAAAGTTTCGGGTGGCGAATGTTACTCAGCACCCGGAAGAACCCAGACCTGTGTGTTATAAATAACGACAGATCTCCCAATGCCAATAAGGAGCGAATGGTCAGCTAATTGGTCATCTGCAGACTCGTAGATCTGGAAAATGGAGGAAAGCGCAACCAAGCGCCAGCTCTTCATTTCCTTATTGGTCGCAATGGTCGGCGTAAAGTGCGTGCGTTTTTTTTCCCGCCGTGTCTTACCCCTTGTGCAGGATCCGTCGAGCTAACGCTGTGGAAGTATTCGCTGCTCGGAGGGAAGCCGAACGCTCGCACATCAAACCTTCAGCTTCAGCGAAAGGAAACCCTTGGAGACAAAGGTGCGGACATTTCGTCCATTGTTGGGGGGGGGGTTAAAGGTGGCGGGACCCCAAGCTTCTCCCCTGCCCGTCCTTCAAGGGGACTTTGTCAGCGGAAAGTTACTCCGGTGAATAGAGGGACGCCGGCTTGTGATGGCATTCAAGGGAGCTGACGGGCTAATCACTTCGGGGATGGGGAGCCGCGGGTATTTGTGTCACTTTAATTTGCCGCGCACAATGGCCGATGGCTGGGGCCCTATTAAGCCGCGTTTAATGCAGAAGTAAAGCCGGGGGGGGGGGGGGGATAAAAGGCTCCCTTATCT